GAGTAGAAAATGAAGGCTAATCATGTTTTGGGTGTACTATTCCTTTAAGAACACATGACAAATCCCATCACCTTTGAGCTCTGCCTCTGTGATGGTCTGCAGTCTGTTCCCCTGCAGTAACAGCACCGATAGATATTCCAGGTTCTGAAACGCTCCTGGGCTGATGCTGCTGATAAGGTTGTTGGCCAGTCGCAGCTGTTTCAGCCCGGCCGGTAGACCGTTAGGCACTGAAGTCAGGTGGTTGTTGTTTGCAAAAAAGTAGCGCAGGTCTTTCTGGTTCTGCAGGGATCCTATCTCCAGGTTTTCACTCTTGAGCTGATTATTGTCGATGATCAGCCAGCGCAGACCGGTAATATTAGCCAGGATGGAGGAGGACAGAGATGAGATGTTGTTGGCCTGAGAACAAGGAAAACACAACTCTACATATGTTAGGTTTTATTTGTTTAGTAAAAAATGTGAAAATAAAGATGCCTGTACAAACTTCCATAGTAAACATTGTGGCATTTCAGGAAGTAAGTGCTTTAAATCCCAGCGAAGATCTTCTTTTATTAAGGTTGCAATTACACACTTTCGCTGGGTGCTTTGCTTAAAACATACAACAACAAAAAGAGATGAAGGTGGAATTAGTTTCAAACCCAGTTTAGCCCTAAGAAAACTCAGAATAACACAAAATCCATCATGTAGAACAACATGTATCTGCAGCTGTGCTGTCCTCCTGAGAAAAACTAAAAATGCCTTCTGTAAGAATACGATGAAAGCTTCCACTCTGTCATAGAGAGAAAAAAACGCATTTTTTAAAATAACAACAATAATAATCAAAACAAGAAATATTCCTCCTTTTTTTACCACCAGCATGCAGAATGGTTTAGCTATGACTTGTTTTTTTTGTTTTTTTTTTAGCTCTGAGGACAACTGTTGAATAATAAACCTACAATGTGTTGCGTTTTTAGCACCGAGCAGTATGAAGTGTGGACCAGGATGAACACAGTAGACTTCTTAATCACATAAACAGAACATTTCATGATAAATTTAGCACATATTTTACTTTTGTGTGAGTGATTATATCTCTTTTTTTAAGTAAGGAAGTAAAGGTCCAGCTTTTGGGTCTAATTTAACAAAATTTCAGTAAAAGTCTAAGCCTAAAAAATACCCGGTAAAGTACAGATATTAAAAAACGGACTTAGGTTTTACTTAATTACTATACACCTCTGGAAAAACTAACCCTGACAGGATTAAACTGCAAAAATATTTGAGAAAACATCAACCTTTCTGCCTGTTTGTAGTTATGTGAATACAGAATTATAATGGAAGCACTTAGCCCTCGTCTGTTGAACAGAGCCATGGCCTGTTTTACCAAATGATGCTATTTTGAAACAGTTGCAAAGATTGAAAGAGAAAAATAAAATAACCGCAGAAATATAATTTTTTTCTACCTGTAGAAACAAGTATTGGGTTCTTGGTGGCAGTCCTTCAGGGATGTGTTCGAGAGCTATGTTGTCACAGTAGAGCGATGTTGGCCACTGGATTGGACACACACACTGCTCAGGACAGAACTGGGGGTTGTTGGCCCGAAACCAGGCCGGGTCCATCCTTCCCTGGAGACTTAAAACGCTGGGCTCACCAAGCAGGCGGTTTATCCACAGAGGAATGCCTCCATAGTCCATGTCGGTGACTAACATGGCCTGGGCAGCATCAGAGGCACAGAACAGCACCAACACACCACAGAGCCAGAGAGCCATGAGATGCACAATTCTGTTAAAGAATCAAAAGAGAACATCACTTTTTGACCAAGATAGTGAACAATTTCCACCAATCCCAGAGAAGCGCATGTGCAGTATTCAGAAAGGATAGTGTGCTGCGCTTTGGGCAATTTGCAAAGTTGCAGTTTGACTGATGTCACAGTGCTTAGAGCTTAATTTAAACTGCAGGAAGTTCACTTCAACCTGAAAACTACTCCTATAGGTACACATAGTTGAGGTAGCATTAAGCCTTTAAAAAGGCATTTCTTCAGCTAGCCAGAAATGTTGAAAAGCTGAGTGTTGCTAAATAAAGGTCAAGCATGAAACAGAAGCTGTTAGAGGCTGCAAATGGCTCAATAATGAGCACACAACGTACCTTTTCGTTTATCATCCATAAACACAAGGTTTCATTCCACTACTATGCACACGATACACAATTATACACAAAAATGGACTCCCCACTACCCTCAGCCTTAACCTTTTGCATTTCTGGTCTGCGTGGAGGAGATACTGTAAGGGCATGGATGTCTGACACATTCCTTCAATTAAACAGCATCAAAACCAAAGCCATCCTGATCGGCACCCCACATCAAACCCAGTCTTCCTTCCTCACCAGTAGACCAATTCTTGGCCATCACAGTCCTCTGTTCACCTGTGTTACAAACCTTTGAGTCAAACTTGCCTCAAATTTTCACATTTCACACCCATGTCCGCCACCTCTATAAGGTTTCCTTCCTCCATCTTAAAAACATCGGCAAATTTCGTTCTTCCCTCTCCCAACCGGATGCTGAGAAGTTGATCCATGCTTTTATCTCCTCCAAGTTGGATTACTGAAATGCCCTTCTCATCTGGATCGCTATCAGGAGCCTGCAAAAGCTCCCGCATATTCAAAATTGCGCTCCCCGGGTCCTGCCATAGGCGCAAATTTTATCACATCACCCCACTGCTGAAATCAAGGGACTTTCTGCTGATTCAACACAGCACCCGCTAGAAAATCTGTCTCCTCACCCATCATTGCATACATGGAACTGGCCCTACCTACCTCAGTGATCTCCTTAACCCGCACACCAACCCATGAAACATCTGCTCCTCCACTTCTACCTACTTCCTGCACCAACCCAGGACCAAATCTCCACTGTGGGAGAAAGGGCCTTCCAGGCAGTCGCCCAACATCTATAGGATGTCCTCCCAGAGAACCTCAGGGCCCCAAAAACTGTGGAGGTGTTCAAAAAAGCACCTGAAGACATTCTTTTTTAAAAAGGCCTTGTAATACTTAAGGTTTCAATTTAATTCTTATGGAGTTTTATTGTGTTTTTGTATTTATTATACATTGTGAACTATTTTTAACCTCCTTCTATAGCACTTTGAGATTTTATTTAAAATGTTAAGTGCATTATAATTTTATATTTTTATAGATTTTGTATTATTATTGATACCTTTTATCAGAACATCTATAAATGCAGTATAAAGCAAGGGCATATTGTTTGATGGAACGGCCTAATAAAACTCTAAACCATTGTTAGTTGACTTAAAGGTCAATAATAACAGGCGGTATGCATCCCATTTGGAGGGTCTTTGAATTTGTTGGGGGGGGGGACACATTTCAGAAAGAATTAGCTAAATTTCAGCGCTTAGATGTGCAGATGTGGCAGTGAAACACTCATAGCACAACATAACTGAAAAAGAAGCTGAAGTTGTGGCAAGTGGCCTGTGCTTCTATAGCACCTTTTCATGTCGAAGAACTCCCAAGCATTTTATATTATGTTCAGTCAGTCCCCCATTCATACACTGTAGGCACAGCTGCCCTACGGCACACTGACAAAGGGGCCATCATGCCTCCGACTGCCATGGGAGGCAATGTGGGGGAGGAGGAGTCTTCCCAGAAGACACAAAGACTAAGCTGGACGGAGGTAAGGTGTGAACAGGCAACAGTCCTGCCCTACTGTCACCCTTCTGATGTTGAACCCATTTAGAGGTGAGCTTGTAAAGAGCCAACATTTTAAAAATATTACTTATCTCACAGATGAGGAACACTTTAATTAGAACCCCTATTGCAATGCTACATCAGTGTAATGGTTATTTACCAGCATTTGCATTAGTTGTTCTGAATTCAGCCGCATGACTATCTGTTAGTTTAATGCTGCAGCTGCAGAGCAGAAGCTTGGCTGGACATCACAGCGGTCTCTGTATTGAGCTCCTGAATTTACCATGCCAAATAGGGAAAGCCAGGTGCCAGACAGAGAAAAGTTGCCACACTCACTTGACTTGTGAAAACATGACAGCTAAACAGAAACAGAGGGTTTCGTTTTAGCATCATTTTAACAGTAAGGGACAGTCTGGTTGCACCTTTCTGTGTGACTGACTTTCTGCTCACCAACACTGCAGCTGCATAGGGGAAGGACAGCAGAATTACGTTGTTCAGTGCGAACCTGGTATAACTATTGACTGGACACCTCTTAATGTTTCACCCAACTGTTGTACAGTAATTCAAATCAATTCAGTTTATTTATATTGCACCAATTCACAACACATGTCATCTCAAGGCACTTTACAGTTCACTAGATCATCCAGTCAAATTGATTTAAAGTTTTCTATCTAAGGGAAACCAGTTGAATGCAGCGACTCATTGACTCAAAGGCAATCCCTCCCAGTATTATTAGGAAACTGCAGCTGTTTCTAAGTTGATCTGATTTGGTCAGGGCT